TGTAGTAACGCGCCACTTTACATTCTCACTGAAAAAATAACGCCGTTATACTTAAACGCCGTTACTCCCAACACTGTAGGGGACGCACGTTGTGTCACACTAAAAAGAATCCGTGCGAAACGTGAGCTTTAAATTTAATTAAACGAGGCTTCGACGCAGAGGAAATTCCTTGATTATTTTTGTAATCGAGTTACTCGAGGAATCGTTGCAGCCCTAATGTTGATGTTGAAACATCTTCAACTCGCCAGCACAGCAGATCCATCCAAATAACTGTCACGGGCGCAGAGGAGTAGAAAAGCAGAATAAAAGTGGGAGAAAGCACTGTCCCTGCTGAAGTGTCCTTAAACAAGTCTATGTCTGTACTTCAGCAGCGTCAGGTCAGCTGTTGTCCTTGTGCAGATAGACACAAGAAGAGAGAAATTCTCCTGCAGCTATCATTAGGCTGTCGCCCGAGATAAAGAGAAGGCCTTACTGGTGTGTAGCTGTGTACGTTGCTGCTGCTGCTGCTGACGGCGGTGTTCAGGTTGTTAAGGTTGACGGACGCCAAACTCTGTTCTGAAAGACTGTTGCTCAGGCTGCCGCCCAAACTCCCAGGACTCTCACTGCCTTCTGCCTCGGGATTGTACAGCACTACCTACACACAAATACACAAGCACGCACACGCACACACACATACAGGATCCATGTTAATGTGACAATAAAGACAATTATACAGGGCCAAAATTTTGAGGCAATGCACCATATAAACTCCTTCAAAGGCAGTGATTCATGATTTTATTGTTCCTCATTGCCCATTTTGTTACTCTCCCTCATTTTTGTCCATTTGCCAATTCATATCCAGGCTAAAGTGAGCACTGCCCACCTCAAGAAGTTACCCATGCACCATTAACTTATGAGACAAGTCATGAGGAAATATGGAAATTAAATTGCTGGTCCATGCAAATTGGTGCTGCTGCTACATAAAAGCACAGAAACTAAACCACTGATGACTATTTTTCCTTGAACATGGTGATTTAGATAAAATGTCTTGACCCAGAGACCACTGGATAACTTCAGGCATGACTTTATTGTTGTCTTGACTTTTGAGTTTGGCACCAATGAAGACGTGAGTTTCGCTTCAGAGGACTTGTACTGGTGTATTGTCTTGTGGTGACAGATCACAAAGCCTTTAAAAGAATTGCCTCAGGATTATGTTGAATCGTGTTTCTCTTGTTTTGTTTGACTGTCAGTACTTGAGAAGCAGAGCGCCGGTATTACCTCCAGGCTACGTTTAATTGTATAGACAAATGTGAAATCATAGCCTTCGGGTGAGACAACAGTAACGGCTCTCTGGGGCAGTGCTCTACCCTGTAGAACATCTTGTAGCGGAAAAATAAGTGTCTTCAGAAGTCAGTTTTAAGTGTTAATCCCAAACATTTTCTGGGTTTGGTGGATTTTGGTGACATCTAAGTGAACCTGAGATTCCCCTCGCTGTGTTACTATAGTAACAAGGAAATTATCATGTGGTTTACGAGAACAATTCAGGTTTATATTTGTGCATTAGAAAAGAAAGAAACTAATAATGACTAAACCTCTTACAAAGTGTTTTTTAGACTAAGCAGAGCTTCAATCACAAGGAATTTAGGAATTCAAGCAAAAACATTACAATGTCTGAATGTAATGATGACTATAACATCCTTTCTCAAGGAAAATAACTTCTGTTATACTAATTTTCTAGTATCATATTATAGGAATGTCTTTCAAAAGCATAGGCACTCTCCAATGCAAACAGACTAAAGCAAATGTGTTACAGAAGAGGCACTGACGCACTGCCGTGCCTGCAGGACGCCACCTGTCTGGATGTGGGTGGATATCATTGACGTTGGCATCAGCATTATTATTATCAAGGTCTTCCTCTTCCTGCTCTGAATTTATTTATTTATTTTAAAAAATGTATAGTGATGACTAAGATGAGTCAAGTTTGAGTCTTTCCTGGAGTAAAACAGAATGAGTGCAAACTGACATGCATGAGGTAAATCAACAGTTTTCTGTTTCCTGCTGCCTGTGAGACAAACCAGTCTGGGGAAATGTATAATGTATGTCCAAAAATCGCCTGATGCGGAATTCCTAGGCTCTATATAATGCTCATCTCTTTGCTTTCTGTTGTCAGATTTTAGGACAAATTTGTCTGTGTATCTAATACCATAGAGTACCAACTCAATCATAACATAATAAGTAGGAAACCCACCGCGCTATACTATCAGAAGTTAGCAAAAACCGAAGTGAGTTTTGCCTATTTTGTCTGATAAACACTCAAAATGAATTGAAGCAAAAATCTGCAAGTGCTTAATATTTGTTCACTAAATCAATGATAATAACTTATAAAAATGACATGACTATATTTTTTAGTTCCCAATGTGTTAAAAATCTGTGATAAAAAAAAAGTGTTTCATATTGACAAATTCTTGGAAGTATGAGTCAAGAACTGTGAAAAGCACAGGATGGAAAACTGGAATAAGCTGTCAAGTCCAGACCTTCACATCACATCCAGACCAAACACTTAAAGAGTTATGTGAGCTGCTGCTGTGGGACAAATTTTCTCTTTGGTCAGGGTCAGACGAAAGGGTCACGTACCACACATCATCACTTTTTGTGTGTGTGTGTGTGTCAGATCAGACAGGCGTCAGAGGTCCCAGTCGCTGCTTGATCTCTGGCCCACATCCAGACGGTCACACCCAGTTCAGCCTTTTAGTCAGCGTGTGTGTGCGCGGATATGTGTGAATATGTGTGTGGATGTTTAAATGCATGTGGTGTGTGAAAGTGAGGAAGTGTGAAGTCAGTGTACAAATGACTAAATCTTCTTGACTAATGCATTTGTCAATAATCATCATCATTACACATAATTAGAAAATTAATATTCATCAGACCTGAATGGACAATAAGCATATTTCTGTGCTTTTTCAACCATTTAAAC